ACCATTAACACTGTCCAATACGAATAGAACTTTACTATGATTTTGTGACGATCGAAGTAGTGGAAGAAGTTCTTGTACGAATAATATTCTACCGTAATAGTGTAAAGCTAGTTTATTATCAATATTTTCCGTTGTTGGTGTTCGACCAGCCATAGTTAAAATTCCTTGAGTTAGCACCAACATGTCAACTGAATTAATCTTTTTTGTTACGGCTCGAATTTCAGACATAAGTGAGACATCAGCACGAATGAATTTTGGATTTGAACCTAATTGTGATAGGATAGCATTAGCAGCAGGTTCATTTCGTCCAACAATGGTAATACTAGCAGATGGACAATGTCGAGCTATTGAAAGAGCTATTGCTCGACCAATGCCTGATGTACCGCCAACGACAACAATGTTTGGAGGTGGTTTTAAAGAAGATAGAATACGAGCGTTTGAAGCGGTAGCTACTCGTACAGCGGCGGACATTTTCAATGTATAATTCTAAAGAAGAAATATTCGTAATACTAGAACTAAATTAAATTTTTTTTACACAATCATAACTACAAATTTCACGATTCTTTCTTTAGTCGTTATCTGAAATTTCTAAGAGCTTTAAAAATTCATCGCTGGAGTTGCAAGAGAATAAACACTTTTTTTTCTTACTATGATATATTAAACAATTAAGATCTAGACTCATTGATGAGCCATTATCTCTTGTTTCAAAATCACAGAAACATCTTTTTTTTTACACTTTTCGTATGTAATGATTTCTGTTGAATAAGTTTCATAAGCAATACACTGATATATTTAAATTAAGAAATCTTCAAGAGATTGAAATTCTCTATTGTATGGCATATGACAGAGACAGCTTAAATATATACGTACTATAAGAAGAAATTTGCTGAATTTTACTGCAAATTCTTATAAATCACTCATGATTTGATACTTTATTTGCATAGTTCTCACTATATAACATATTCTACTATCGCACTATCTATAGAATAGAACTCATCTTGTCTAATGCTGATAAACTATCAATTCTGTGAAAGATATCTAAATTTGGATCAATTGTCTTCTACATCTCATAAAATAAAGTACAAGTTTTTCAAAGAATATATTTAAAACTCTTTGGTATGAATGCTTTTTCAACTCAAAAGAATTTTTTAATAGTACGAATTCAGTATCAAGCAATAGAGTAAAATGATGATTAATGCTATGACCGTAGTGAAATATATTATTGTAAAGTATGCTCTGACTGACTTCGAATCACCTTCATTGAATCATTTGATAAAACTACTTATCATCATTTTTCTACATTAGTTCATTCTACTAAGAATTCATCTTTTATGTCGATAAAATAGTGCATTGAATAAAGTCCGATGCCTGGCGAACAGTTTCAATAAAAGTTTGTTGACTGAAACTGACTTCTCTTTCACATGATATTTACGTCGTTTTTGTTCTTCAAGCTCGTAAATAGTACTCTTACCTTCCTCTATAAAAACAACAGAATATTATCTTTCCTTTTCTCACAAGATCATGCGCGCATGATGTTCGTAAAGGAATGAAAGAAAAGAGCAAAAAAAAAGAGTCAATAAAATGTTGAAGAAAAAAAGATACTGAACCGATTGCATTATAAATCATTAAAAATAGTAAGAATATTTGATTATTATCTCTTATTGATTGAAGCCAGTCCTGAAGATGAGCTGGTGGAGTATTGNCATTTTTTATGGCTCACCCGTTATTACACTCTCTTACTGACAATTAGACTTGTTATTTACTATGACAACGAGTCAGCAAATGACAAGATAATTCTTCTTGGACTATCTGTTCATCACTATTTGATTTGATGAATAAGTCGTCAACTGCAACTTGATCGACGAATTAGCGCATATGATAAATTGACCTATGTTATTTGAATTCAATTTATGTGTATGTTCATGTTCTTCAGATCTGTATTAGTAGTAGGCGAACCAAAATTCAACAATAATGGTTCTTTTCAAGCTACGTTAGACATCTGTAGTATATACGCTTAAATGTCTTCAACACTGATTAGAATTGCAAGTGTGTTGAAAATAGATAATTCACTACTAAGAAGAATTCAACAGAGCAAGATTATAATCACATGTAAAGATATAGATTATTCTATTGTTTACTATTGTATTTATGGTTAGAGGTGTAAGTCGAAGGGTCAAACGGCGGCGGCTGTTTTAATGATCCAATTTTTTTCCATGGCGGCGGCGCCTACTAGACTCTATGCTTTTCTATACCGGCGGCGGCGGCTACTATACTTTATGTTTTTCTGCACCGGCGGCGGCTTTGCCAACCAAAAAAAAACAAAAAAAACGTTTTTGCTCCTAAAAATGTCAGTGGCGGCGGCGCAACGGCTGAACTAACTTTTTCACAGCGGTGGCGGCTAAAAAATTCGTAAAACTATCTCCGATTCCGTGGCGGCGGCGGCTGATTTTGGAGAAAAATCGGCGGTGGCGGCGCAGTTGGATGGCTTACACCTCTATTTACGGTAAATATTAATGATTTTAGATTTTTTTTAATCAGTAGGCGTTTTTATTAGGTCATATGAAAAAAAATCTATTTTCGATTGTTTTATTCAGAATGTGTTGGTAAAGTACGAGATATTACATGGATTTATTCGATTTTATCTATTCATCATTTTAATAAATTGAATTTTCTTAATCTCACTATTAAATTCAATTAAAAGTAAACTTCTCAGTGATTTTCTCTTTTGAGAAAATACATTTGATTATTCTTTCTATGCAGAGGAAATAATATACTTTTTAATCCATCAGAGTTCTTTAATCGATATCAAGGAAAAGAAAACAAATGACGATTAAGATGATGAAGTATTCATTCAACACATGACTTTGATAGAGTTAAAATTAAATTGATATTAGCTTTTACAACAACTAAAAAAGAAAAATTTTCCTTGTTCATATGTTTCGAAAAAAAGAATTTACTGTTCAATAAGAAATGTCTGTCGAACTTTGAAAATCTGCTGCTACCACAATAAGTCTGCAATTTATGTTTTAAAAATTCTTTTTATCACTGTAATAAATTATCCTCCTATTCATTCACTCGATTTCTAGGCATTACATTGGTACAGACAAAAATTCTGTAATAATTTCAATATGGAAAAGGCGTACTGATGTGATTCTAAGCAGGCAGAAGTACTAAAATGTAGTCCAGATATTTTTGTTTTTTGTAGAAGAATACAGATGTTCACTTGAGGAATAACTGTTTATTAAAGTTAAATGCTAACTAAACTAATTATTTATGTAAGTTTTAGCAATCGCACTACTTTGAATTTGTATTGTATAACTTGGAAATCATATACTTGAAATAATTAGATAGTCTCTATTTGTTCATTCTTGTCGATTTACTTTTGTCTTCGCTAAATTTGTCAAAAATAAACAATGTGATTATTATTATTATTATTCGATGATCTTAAAAAAGTAAAATTAATCGAGAAAATTGTTATACTATTTTCAAAAAAAGAGTTCTACTTTCATTATTTACGTATTGAATCTTTTAAACTAAATAAGACATTGAAAAAATATTGATTATTTTATCCATATCATCAATTCCACAAAAAAAAAGAATTACAGAAAAGTAATAATAAATAGAAATATGTATATTTATTTCCTCTTGACAAATTCATAGGCTTTGCGATATTTTCGAATAAAGCTATAGCTTCAGACAGTGTGGGCTATTAGCTACGATTCTCTTTGTACACATCCACATTCAATGATTTGGAATAATTACATGACAATTTCTCATATATGAATCAATTAGATTCTCTATGTATGTTCTTATTTTGTCATCCTTTATTTCAAGTGTAACACTCACACGTTCATTCCTTCATAGTTTTTCATTTAGTCTAACCTGAAATGAACATCATGGTTCTACTTATTATACTGTAGCAAAGGCGACACATACTCCACATAAAATGAATCATATACACAGAACAAATGAAATTTGTTTGCTGCGTATATCGTTTCATGATTATTTTTGACAGATAAGTTTTCTTTTTTCAATGTATACTTTAGTGGTTGTTTTCATTTACGAAAAAGAGGTCGAACAAACAACCGATAAATGATGCATTTTGTTAACTGTTAATAGTTCTATATGGAGATAACACTCAGCATAATGTTCTGTCATTGTTTTTTTGTTTTGCCCATTAGTCATTACGATTCTAAAGGGGTAATATGTTAGTAACACAAATTGATAGAAAAGAAAAGAGAGAACGACAAAAAACAAGAGAAATCTTTTTTTGTTTTGTTTTCATTTTTATGTTTTACTTTGATCTAGAAGAAACAAGTTTTTATTTTTTTTTACAATTTTTAGTATTGATTTTAAGAGGGTTAACATCATTCTGTTCTCTTTACATTGCTAGGGTAAATATCGTTATCGTATCGATCTTTGTGGGAAAAAACCCAGTTTACCTTGTAAACTTATATATAAATGAATAACTTTATAGTTAAAAATAATTCTTCATCTCATCAGTTCATTTTTTATTAAAAATATACCAGGTATGTTCCTGTATATGCACATGTAATTCAATCTGACATATAATGCCAATGATGTCTAAAAAGAAGATTCTCGATTTCAAAAACTCGCTAGTTCCATCTGGTCACTCACTACTGAGAAATTATTAAAAAAAAAGGCTAGTATCTATGTTCACATTGTGATTCACAGACTCTAATATGTTTTAAGACATTTTCAATGGTTCAGCCAGTCGGTTAAAATCTGTATTCATGATAAGAGAATTAGTACATAGATTAATTGTCTTTAGTTTAGGATTTCACTCATTTTACCATATTAATTAAAGTAAATATTCAATAAAGTTTTTCTTTTCATTCTTGATTCTTCTTAAATAGCAGACGATACTAATCAAGATAGCAAATATTTTCAGTTTCGTATCTTAACACTTATGAACTAATTAAAATCTTAATGTAAATAGTTTTTCGAAACATAGAAAATATTTTTTTTTCTAGTCATTAATGGAACATACCACTATTCGCGTAGAACGTCCTGATCCTCAAGATGGAAGTGGTATACCTAATCATCTGATCATTTGGTTGGATAAATTTATAGGAAAAGCTAATGAATATTATCTTTTAAAACGTGCTTTCTTCATGACAACAGATCCAACTACTGGCTATGTACAAGATTTGAAGCAAGAAGACATTGATCATAGTATTCGTTTGAACGAAGCCATATCGGTTCGACTCGATGGAATTCAATTCATGCTTCGAGCTTTTGACACCGTTGATAACTGTTTCGAAGCTATTGAAAACAACTTTGACAAACGTCTTTTCATCATCACATCAGGTTCAAAAGGAAGAATTCTTTTACCGGCTCTTACAACGCACTTTCAAGAGAAAATCAAACAAAATTATCCTGTGTATATCTTTTGTGGCAACATGAATATGGTACAAGTGGGTGATGTGGTGCCGACGAATGAATGGGTATGGGATTTTGAAGATTATGCTCTCATGTTCAATCATGAAAGCGATCTATTGGCTCGCATGATATTAAACATCATCGATTATTTCTATACTGAAGGAAATCAACTTCGTCAAGCTGAAAAACTCGAAAGTGCGAGTCAACATTACCGTTGGGCTAAAATTATGCTACAACGACGTGTTACTATGTCTCCTAAAGTGGCATTGGACGATAGAGAAAAAGAACTAAATCACCTTATTGATAGTATTGAGCAACATCTAAGTCAACGGAACAATGATAAGAAAGATCGTGCTGGTGAACCATGTGCTTGATCACGTATAGACATGACTGTATTTATGCTACTTCTTCTGTTTATTCAAGAAAAAGCTTTTAGACTAACATCATTATCAATCTTGTAGTAGTGGATCAGAATAAAGATTGCTTCTTATTGATTGATACGCAACTAAAGTTAAAAATTGAGCGAGGATCACTGAAAAATAAATCGAATTCATATATAATTCATCGATTGATGAAGATTAGTTTTAGCTAGATGTGAATGCATGCGTTTAATATTTCATCTATTTCTAGAATCGACTTACATCTTGTAAACTGTAAGAATATCAACGAGAATTCTGACAGAAATCAAATGTATTTTTGTTCTTGAAAATTAATGATGAATTTTCAATATTCCCTACGAAAAAAATATACGGTTATGCGATGGATATAAATATGAGTTTGAAAAGAAGATTCATCCCACAGATCCACAACTACCATACTCTCAAACAAAAGCTATTAAAATCGGTATATAAAAAGATTCTAAAGGTTAACAAAACTAAAAGCAAATATATTAAAAAGAACTTTCACAAGTGATTAGTGACAGCGATATATTGTATCAGAAGTAGATTCACAAAAATTATCTAAATGTTTCATAAACAATGTTATGCATAGTATGGATTGTACAGTCTGAAATAATTCTTTATATGATGGCTAGTAGATACGATTGTCTTTGAAAGGATAAAGATCTTTTCATACAAACATCTTGCTTAATATGATCGAAAAAAAAGACAGACCAATTTACAAGCTTACTATTTGAAGTATATGTGATCTAGAATTTAATCATTTAAAAGTTCTATGGTGTATGAAGGAATTCAAGAAATATTGAGCAATGATTATTGCAAGATGAATCGAAATTTCTTCTTATACTTAGGGCATACCAAAAGTAGGGGCAGTGATACTGTAATACCGTATAGTAGACTTAAAGAAACTTTCTTTCTATATAGTTTGATAGAGAAAAAAAAGTTCTATCTTTCTATGCTATTTGATTATACTTCAAGTGATATCAAAATAATAAAATTTCGATAAGATCTGTTTTATGCGCATGTGTCACGGTTCTATGAATGTTAGTGAGTATTTTTTGAATAACTGTTGACAGAAATAAGATAGAGAATTGCGATTTTCACCGTTGGAAAGAAGAAATAAAGATGCATCGAATCGTATATTATAGGTTTTTCTAACATTGATTTCTGAAATATTTTTATTCAATTTTCTAACAGTCGGAAAAATGTTTTTTTTTTTATGAAAAAAAGGAAAAAGCACAAAAGGGAGCTTTTTTCACAGACTTTACTACAAAATAATATTAGCGGCTCGACTAGAATACTTATTATTCATTTCAGCCTTCCACACTTTCCTGACCTTCGAGTAATGGTTTGAATTTATACTTGATAATTCACTGTAAACAACTTATCAGATAATTTTGTTCTTAAAAAGATCAATTGAGAACCTTACAAAAAAAACAGATCAAGAAAATCTGAAATATACGATTCGATGAATCTTCATTTCTTCTTTCCAACGGCGAAAACCGTAGTTCTTTATCTTGTTTTTATCAAAAGTTATTCAAAAAAATACTCACTCGTATTTTTTAAAATGAGTATTAATACAACCTGCACATATGATAACGAAACACATCTTATCGAAATTTTATTATTATGATATTAGTTGAAGTATGATCAAATAGCATAGAAAGATAGAACTTTTTTTTCTCAATCAGACAATATAGAAAGAAAGTTTCTTTAAGTCTATTATACGGTATTACAGTGTCACTGCCACTACTTTTGGTATGTCCTAAGTATTTTCGACACTTCCTTTGAAGAGAAGTAAGATACACGATTTAATTATTTAGAGAATAACTGTCATGGACGCTATACGCTAGTGATCATTTCTTATATACAGATCATTCTTTTTTCTTGCGTTTTTGTTTTCACTAGGTCTACAAAAACTAATGCATTAGAACACGGATCTGTTTTGATTTGACCTTTGCGAGCTTTTATATACGTTATAGAACAACATAGACACGTGCTTCGTTTCTATTCGTAATCTCACTGTTATATGTCAATACATAACATGATTTAAGACGCAGATTATGCTATGTTATATATATATAAGGAGATTAGGCCTATATACAATATAATCGACGTTATCGCAACTATTTGTCAAAAATTCATTTCAACTAGCTGTAGTCGAACATTCGCTCCCTGATAATAGAGTGAGCACAAAACAAATCTCGAAGAAATTCATAATCATCATAATAGAAAACAATGCTACGAAGCGCGATTATATTTTTTGTCTTATTCCAACAAAATAATATCTTTTGTATGGTCCCATTATCTTCATACGTAACAATTCAAACGCATTATCTACAGCCGTTTATCTCAGGCGATGATCAACATATTCCTTTATATACAGGTTGTAAACCTATCAATTTAGAATTCAATATAACCGATATGCATTGTGATTTGATGACACCCAATCGAATTTATCTTCCTCAATCACTCAAATCCGCTGGTGAGAGTCAGTTGAAATCAATTTTGAATGACTATAAATCGATGAATATTACCATGATTGAATTGTGGCCGACTCTTGGTGCATTTGGTTTTTATACATGGGTTTATGCTAGAATATTTTGTAATGATACTCACTGGATCTGGTTGAATTCTTCGTCAATCAAATTTCCATCTTCAGTCGATTCTCCATTAACTGAATCTGAGTATCCCGAACCTTATCTACCTCAATTACTTATAACATCAAATCTAGATCATCATTTGGAAATATTTGCCGATATTTTATTATTACCATCACTATATATGAAACCTGTATTCGGTGATTGTCTGTGGACATCTGCGAATTATACAAACTCTCTAAATCGAATGCAAACAACAACAATCTATTCGGGATGGTTACCAGTCGAAAAAATGAATGAAATGGAACAGATATTACATCACAATATCTGTGTTCTCTTGCCACAACCGTTTCAGATTAATGGAAAACCATACACGTTGTTTATTAACATCACACACGACAATAGTTTCCAGTGGCCATCGGATATTTCTTGGTATACTGTTCCATCTCCGTCATTAAATGATATACTCAAAACAAAGCCAGTTTCTGATGCTTGGTACAATGATCTTCACTGGCCAAAAACGTTTGCAGATCAGTGGAGATCAGATATGTATCGATTCAGTGGCATACAACCACTCGAGTATGAAAATAAAACGCAAATTTATTTAACTCGTAAATCTTCTATACAAATCGATAATCAATTAATGAATTTAATCGATTATCTCATTGAACAATACAATAAGCTAAATATTCGAACGGAAAAACAAATATTTCACTGGCGAAATATAACGCAAGCAAATCTCATTGCTTACATACCAGCTGGCGGCTCTTACAAATGTCATGAACCTATAGTATTTATGGATCATATCGACACTGCATTTGAAGAAGATACATTCGCCAATAGCAGGAAACGACAGTCAACACCAGGTGCCGATGACAATGTTAGTGGTTTGATTGCGCTACTTCAATCAGCTTCGATACTGAAAAAAACTCAGGAAACGGCGTGTCGTGACATATGGCTAGTTCATTTGACCGGTGAAGAATATCCTGCGGCTAGTTTGGGCATCTCACATTTTCTACAGCAGTTATTCATAAAAAAGCAACCAATTCATACTGCTGTCATTGTTGATATGATCGGCCATCGTGTCAATCGAAGTGATCCTATTGTTCAAGTCAACGCAGGAGATACAACTAAATCATTACTCATGGCTGAATTAGCTCTCAATTATGTTTATCCACGAATTAAGAACGATTTAATCTTACAAAATTTGCAGCCAGTTCTACGTCAATGGAGTGATCCATTTGCATATTTGTACAATACTGATGGAGTCAGATTTGTTGAATATGGTTTCAATTGTCTTTTGTTCAATGAACACATAAATTATCATGAAAATTTCGAGCGTGATGGATATCATGATACTTTAGATACCGTGAATTTAATTGATTTCGAATACGGACAAACAGTCTCACAATATGCAATTGCTACAGTGGCAATGCTCGCTCATTCGGATTGCCGCTCAGACTCATGTTGGAACAAGGCAAATCTGGTATTCATCATCGGATTGAGTCCATTATTATTGATACTACTTGCAACATAGTCAACAAAAACTCATTAAATCGTCTATTGACATTCATTTAGCTAAGATCGAGCAAGATACTCTTCTTGCACATTTTAAATTAGATTATAATCTATGAACATTGATTCAGTAGGTAGCGCAACTAAAACGATTACGAAAGAGTGTGGGCTTAGGTAAAGAGAAGATTTACATCCACATCCATCTTTTTCCTACAACTTGAAAAAAACTCTTTCTTGATATGTTGACTGAGTTTTCCTCCGCAAATAAGAGCGACTACTCAAGTGGTTACCTTGTGCAAATACGTCGATTTCTTGCGAAAGAGAACAAAGAAAATGTGTGCATCAATTAATTCTAGCTCTGACTTTATCGATGATTTGTGAACTTTAAAAAAGTGCTGTACTCTTATCAGAGGATAAAGAACGAGATATGATGTGCAATTCTGCCTTTCTAAATAGAAACGATGTTGATGAGAGAGCATGTGTGGTGCTTAAACCTCTACAAAGCACGTTGGAATACTTTGGTGAAGGTCGATTTATGGAATGTACAGAATTATTATAAAGTTTCATTATTCGGCTCTTAAAGTTAGAAAAATAAAGAATATAACTATGATCGTTTTGTTTATATGAGACTGTACTATCGACTAAACAATGTCTTTCAAATTTCGGTTATGTAATCAATCGATTGACCATTCATAAGAAGACTCAATTCGAGAGACGAAAAATTCTAAGCTTTATAAAAGTTGAAAACTAGCTATCTCAATTTAAACAATCGAAAAAATTTTGTTGTTTTTTATGGTTTGAAATTCATAGAAATTGCCACTTTCTTCTTGCTTCATCTTCAGAGATTATGACAAATTTAGATCTCGAAGAACATGGTGTTTGAATGCATTTTATTTCTCCTGTCCAGTAATGCTGACTATTGAAGAAAATTTTTATGGTAATCACTATCAGATTCAAATGTGAAAATCGATGGAGCTATAGTAGTCACAATGAAGAAGCCTGTGTGCGTCAATCGTAGTATTTTTGGGAAACAACAAGTAAAGCATCAAAAAGACTTTAACAACATTATAGAGAGTGACATGCATGCTGAAAACACCCTCACAATATATGTCTTAGTCTGTAATGTTAGATTGTCTATATTTCGTGGTCTGTAGAGCGGTTTACTTTTTCCTCCATATACTTCGACACTTATTATCGATCATGCTATACAAAAGCGAAATCTAGGTGAAATCTTTATTACAATATCGTTTGTTCAATAATGTTTAGATGTTTTTCGCACTGTAAAATGTATTGGATGAGCCGATAGAATGTAGTTTCAATTACAAGAGGCAGAAGACATAAACATCAAAGTCAAATCTCTTTCACAATTCACCAAGTCATGATAAAAATAGAAAATTACTATGAACGAATTGTGGCATCTAACAATAATTGGTAATTGTACGATCAACAAATCATTTAGGCCTTTCTTACTCCCTCTACACACGGTCACAACTCACTACTGTATCTTAGTCGTTAGGATTCACATACTGCCAATTCCCATCCCTTTCCATAATGCCCTCAGTTCTCTGAGCTTTCAAAGGGTTATTATTATGATGACAATAACTTCTTTAGAATCGAGAATAAATAAAATGACGCATAGTGGTTAATTGATGTTCGTATCTCCAACTCTAAATATTTAGTATCTGTATTAATTATTGGAGTGTGGTTGACTTCCTTCGTATGCAATCCATTTGCATAAGCAATCAATGAAGCGCTTGGAGTAGACACAATCGACCCATTCTGGTGGTAATTTACGAAAACCATAGTACGCACCAGCCAACTGACCATAAATAGCTGCTGTTGTATCAGTATCGTCACCAAGATTTACAGCTGCTAGAGCACCTTCCGCAAACGAGTGTGTACTCCAAAAAGCCCATAATGCGGCTTCAAGAGAATTGACAACGTAACCTTTACCTCGTATTCCAGCATCATAACCTTTTTCTTTCTTGAATGATCCTTTAGCAATATTTTCAATTTCCGAATCTAAAGGATCGTTTTTCAACCATTTCTTCATCTCGGATGAATAAAATTCTT